ACTATGACGCTCCCCGCCGCAAGGCCCTTGACTTACCCGCATCAAAGAGATTCTCCCGCTACACCGCGGTATAGCATCGGTATCCATTGTTCCATAAGAATGGCTTCCACTGACCACCACCACCACAAAGAAACCTTGCATTACTTCCGGACCCAGCCTCCTTGCCAATGAAGATACGACGTTCTTGCTTACGGTAAATTAAATACAAGATCATCCAAGAGTTGGAGAAAGGAACAAGACAAGTTGATCTCGCTGCTGGCCAGCATGGTGTTAACGTATTCACGATCCGGGGTAGGACTAGGTTGATGCAGCCAAGATAAAGAAGCAATACCTAACACTCAAAGTCTAAGAAAAGCTTCTATGATCAAGTATTGCCACAACCAGGTGCTTCTCAAGACAGAGAAATTACTGTAGAGCTACTTGATGAGCTACTTGATCTTGCCAGGCGCGACGGAACATGGCGGACACGAGTCAGTTAAGGAGAGTATGCACATGAACTGTGGCGCTGCAGTGTCACGAAGATGGGAATTGCAGAGCCCAAACCCTTCAATGCTTCCTCTGGGTGGTTGCAGAGATTTAAGAAGAGAACAAGATAACCAACATATTAACATTGGTGGTGAAAGAAGCTAGTCCTGACCAGGTTGCGGCTAGGATTTTCCTCCGGCTTTTAAGTAGAGATTATGGAGGAAGGACAGTGTACAATCGGCGACCAGGTGTTTAACATGGACGAATTCATTCTTTTTTGAAAGCTACCTTCCACGACCTTCGTTGTGAAGAATGCCAGCAAGTGTCGGGCCGAAGTTGCAGAAGGAGCGCGATCAACGGCCCTGTTTACTACCAATGCCTCCAGTACCTGTGTAAGCCTGGGTTATCGGTGATCCACACAGCACGCAAGCCGACGCTTGATAAAGAGCATGGACATGACGCTTTAAATGTCCACTGGCTGACCGCACGAAGGCGTGGATGTTCTACACTGTCCCTCTCCTGGTTTGATGACTGTTTCGCTCTCGACGTGAAGAAATTCTAGGAGCAACAGAGGTTCCATTCAGAGCTGTTGCTTTGACAACGTGACTAGGACACTCTCACTACTGTTAGATCGTCACTCCCAACATAAAAGTGGTCTTCTCCTTCTCCCAACACTACGCTATTAATACAGCCCATGGACCAAGAATTGATCTGTACGCGAAAGCTGTGTCTCTGCAAAGAAAATTTAAGCTCCTGAGACTACACCAACACCAAGGATGAATTATGAACCTGGGTGACACCGATAGCAAGAGCGAAGACGATGAGGAACAATAGGTTGGCAGAGCAAGAAGTACTTGCTAAAACAATTTGGAGAAAATTCAACGTCAAGAAAGTTGGGGGTTCTTTTTTGCGGCGGCATGGGATCAGCTGTTCAGCGCAACGGTTTGTCACGCATGGGAGAGACATGTGTTGCAAGGTATTCCAGGTGGGAGGCAGAGTCAATTCAGACTGGTGAGGTTCAGAATTGTTGCAGTAGCAGTGGATCTTTGCCAGAGAAGCTGCGCAGAGTGTTACAGCTGCAGGCTTCTCCCGAGACCACCAACGCATTTTACATCCTGAGTGTGACAGGATCTCGATGACTACCAACGAGATGGAGATGATGATGACGTCAGTGAAGAGGCAGGTGGTGCGCCATCCCAAGAAGAACGCAAGTTAATATCGATAGTAATGGGTAAAAGCATCGAAAGTGTGTTGAGAAACTCAAGCTCCTCCTTTCCGACGACCCTGATGATAACCGGTATGAAGTCTTCACTATCCAGATGTTGCAGATTATGAAGCCCTACATCAAGGTGTATCACGACAACATCAACACTAGCCAACAAAGCATTACCGAAGTTCTTCGCCAAGAACCCACCACAGCCAGCCCAAGCCAGTGATGGTGACAGAGACAGCGATGGTGCATTGAGGATTTGTCAGGGAGGCACTATCAAGTGGTGGATGACAGGGATGAAGATCACCTGAGGGTCAAGTAGCCTGCCCTCTGGCCTCGAACCAGCCTCCCATTCCCGTGACACGACTCCATCTCTTCCACTAACGGTGTGAACCCCAACCTTGTTTTTTCTAACCCAACCTACAGTATATTATTCTCTTATTGATTGTCTCTATTATGTGTGTGTGCATGTACCATCATAAAGTTAAGATGTTATTTTACTAAAACGCACGATTGTGCCTTCAAAAAGGGAAAGCAAAGGGTCGTGTCTCTATTCTTCACCAATCCCATATGTTATGTTGCAGTTCACCTGATCATGCAGTGAGGTTCATATATATATATATATATATATATATATATATATATATATATATATATATATATATATATATATATATATATATATATATATATATATATATATATATATATATATATATATATATATATATATATATATATATATATATATATATATATATATATATATATATATATATATATATATATATATATATATATATATATATATATATATATATATATATATATATATATATATATATATATATATATATATATATATATATATATATATATATATATATATATATATATATATATATATATATATATATATATATATATATATATATATATATATATATATATATATATATATATATATATATATATATATAAAGCTGCACTCGATTCTTAAATGACCTTCTCCCCACTTACAACTGCTCATGTACAAATATGTCACATATAAGAAAAATAAACACAAATGCACTGTCTCACTGAAGGTCAAATGAGATTCAAACTGCCAACTTTTGTTTAATTTTTAATCTTTGTGTCCCATTCAAAAATAAAATGTTAGATAAAAAACAGTATCAGCGTTTCAACAAAAAAGAATAAAAAGTCCACTTCAAAATTACTATTCATATTATTACTGAGACAGACGAGGTTTGGAAGTCGATGGAAGTGTAATGCTATTAAGGCAATACAAGATTACATACTAGATTCTACAAATTTACCTGAATATACTGCAGGTTCTAAACCATACAATTAATTCTCAGTCAATTATACTGTGACTGAGAACTGAAAAGCCCAAGTACTGCATTGAATGAGCAATCAAAACACTAAGTACATTCATAATATTGTTTTTTTTATGTACCAGAAAACTTATTAAATTATATTGATAAACTCCAGTGTGCTGTCAATCAAAATACTGAGACAATATGCAATAAAATAAAAAATATTTATATTTTAAAATTGAAACTCTCTCTGAACATTATCGTATTAGTTTATAAAGAGGTCACTGTACTCTTGTTATGTCTTGATTTTAAATTTATAAATAATTAGAAAATGCATTAATGTTTGGATATAATGATGCTATTTGCTAAAAAAAAATTGTCTAATGCATACTTTGTTTGCATAACAATATCAAGAAATACTTATCTCTACCTAAAAAAATAATTACTAAACACAGTAATCTTAGACATACATTCAGTGACTCTTGAACTATGAAAGAGTCTAAAAATAACCTGAAACACAAACATGAAAATCTCTACAGAAATAATACACAACAGTATAGTCTGAGATTCCACACAATAATACACTCTTGGGGTTTATAGTACCCCGAAAACTCATTGAATATTATTCAAAGTGCTGCCACTAGAAATAAGGCTTTTAAATGTGCTGCCACTAGAAATAAGGCTTTTAAATGTGAATCTGAAAAAAAAGACTATATAACATAATTTCATTTCAATAGAATGAGACTCAAAGGTGTGTCACTAGTACTTTTGGAATGTGTCTGTCTTTCAAAAGTTATTGGAATGTTCAGTTAAACAGATCCCATCCAAGCTTAAAAAATCTAACACACCAAGTTACCCAAAAATATCATGCCAACCACATTCTACTATTTTTGGGGGTTCAGGATTTTTTTAATATTATTTCAACCATCCCAGTTATCAGAACACTAATATATATATATATATATATATATATATATATATATATATATATATATATATATATATATATATATATATATATATATATATATATATATATATATATATATATATATATATATATAAAATGTCGCAACAATTTATAACTAAATTTGGCATGGACAAAAAAGTAATATATACAACAAAACTTTAAACAACTACAGGTACAAGATTTTGTCTAGTCTGACTAATATATATTAATATATTCTTGCACTGTTAACAAGTTTTCAGGCATGTTAGAGAGAGGTTAACAAGTGAGGCAAAATAAGCCACAGGGCTGCTCACCATGCCACTTTGTTCATGTTAATCATACCATTGTCCCTTCACAATTATTAGCGTAATTTTAAAAATAATTTTACCAATAACGTGTTGGAAAAAAGTATGCCAATACAGTAATACCCCGCTTTACGCGGTTCTGGTTTACGCGTTTCTACATTTACGCGGTACCCTGCCAGAGCCAGAATTCCCACTTTACGATGTGCATCTACTCATATATGCGGGTGAAGTATAATTTTTTTATTTAGCTCATAAAATTCATACAAATTTCCCGGCCAGAATATAATTTACATTGCTGGAATTCTTACAATATGATGATCATTTTGAATGTAAACATCATGGATTTTGCATTACACATACAAATTTTAGATCTAATGCAAGAATTTTGTTTACACAGAGCAAATATGCTATCTTTTGTGCAAAATATATGACGTGAATATTCAAAATATTCCTGGTCTTGCAAGGAATTCAGCAATGTCAATTATATTCTCCTAACTTTAGTCTGAGGTATTATTTATTACTATACCTTAAAATCTAGTGTTTTCACCCAAACATTTCTCAGAGAGGGAGGAGCCAGTGAGCGTAGGAAGAGGGGGGGGGGGAAGTTGAGTCCATTATTTGAATGGACATTAACCTGGCGACTGTATTTCGCTTAAATATTAATTGTGTGTGCATACCATCATAAAATTAAGATGTTATTTTTACTACAACATAGGTAATGTGTCGGAAAAAGTGGAGTTTGGGAGTCGGCCCAGTCTCTATTTCAATTAATCCCATATGTTCTGTTATTCCATTTATACGTTTCTCGTTTTACGCGGACCTCCGTGGGTTCAATTGACCGCGTAAATCGGGGTATTACTGTATAAAACAGTACTCCAGACCTATAACTTAAATATTCCAATGATTGCATAAAGAAAGAGAGAGAGAGATACATACAGTAACTGAAAGAAAAAATGGTTTATATATCTGTTGTGAACATTGAAAGGTTGAGTGGTACAAACAGATCAGAAATATTTTAAGTCTTTAAGGTAATACTAATTTTGTTGATTATGTTTATCGAGAAAAGACTGGTAAAACCTTTACATAGAGTAGTAGTTTTCATCCTATTTCTCAACAGTTATTTGAGGTGTGTAAAAGTATCATATATAAAATATCCTAATGTTTCTATCTTCAGTTTGCTGCCATACAAGACCAAATTAATTTACTTTAAATATCATACAAATCATTTATAGACAAAACAGTTTTGGCTGTGTGAGTACAAATAGCTAATATATACCCTCAGTCTCTGAAGTAATTTATTTTAAAAGTTATCCACATTAAATATTAAAACTTTACAATAAACACTGACTCACAAGATGATATTAACAATCTGTAAAAATCTTTTGCTGGGGAAAATAACAAAATACATAATGAATCAGTTGCTTCCTATCTAGCACCAATATATCTGTAGTGCAGATCTAACCAGAAAACACAATATCAGGACACAATTTTTTCTATATGTTTGAAAGCACAAAAGCAAGACAAATACAGGAAATTTTATTAGTGTTATTGGACTGATTTTTGTTACTCATCATAAAGAGAAACTAAGAGAAACCCATTTCAACTTGTCATAATAATTTTCTTTATACGTACAGTAACTGCCAAAGGCATTAACTTTGTTGAGAAAACATTTAAGTTTAATATTACCAACTGGTTTTGATAGAAATTTCATCATTTGTAGGTTCTAGACATCAGCTTCAAAGATATATTGTGAAATTACTTTTAAAAGTATCATGAGAACAACAGCCTCAATGATAATTACAATTACATCTGCAGATGGTACAGTGCAAACTCAAGAGTAAAATAGCAATTCAACATTTTAATTTAAAATTATGATATAAATTAATGTACTTCCTCAAAATCCAGTAATGACTCAATCTGGAATAAACTATACCTTAAAAAGAAATAAATCACAATAAATTAATCTTCATTGGTAAAGGCAAGTCTTCTTTGTTTAAAAATCTTTTCTTGGATTGCTTCACGTTATAATGCAGACATAAAATAATATCTACAATACTGCATCTACTGCATTATGGGCCAAGTTCATATACTGTACATATATCAGATGATTTATTCAATTTATGGTTTGGTATGGAACACATGAAACTCTCCCCACAACAGATTTATGAACCTAAGACTGAGAGTCTGTTTTTCTATTAAACCCCTGTCCCTATCAAGATATTTTCACTAATTATCAAATTTCTCTTAGCGTCCTAATTTAGAAAAAGGGTTGATGCCTCGTTTTAATGAGCCAAATCTTGTTCCTCCAGTTGTTCTTAAATCTGAGTCATCTTCTTCTGGACTCTGAAGAGAATCTCCCCTTTCAGCTTCTTGTCGGCTCCTTTCTAACTTTTGACGATTCCTGTCTGCCTCCCGACGGTTCTCCTCCAGAGTAAAGTCTTCAAAGCTCATGTTAGAAATCCCAGAACACTCATTACTGATGCTTTTCTCAGGCTTCTTCTCTGGCTTATCAATTTTCTTCTCCATTTTCTCATGTTTTTTACTTTTTTTGCTTATTTTTTCTTTTTTAGAATGTCCAAATTGTTTCATTGGTAGCACCATCATATTCTCTTCCTCAAATTCCTCACTTATATTTTTATATTTTAATCTATCTTTACTTCGATCTCTATGTCTAGGTTTTCTACAGGGCAGTCCAGTTCCATCATCACTAGAGGTGTCAGAATCTGAGAGTTTTTGGTGTGTAGTCCTGGGTTTGCGGAAACTGGGCGGCGTTGATTTCCTAAGTGTCTTGGAGATTTTGAAATCCCCAAAGAACTTTTCTACGTGACCATCATCATGTGCCATCTGAGCCATCTGTGCTTGAAGAACAGAGCTCATGTTAGCTGGTAATGTCTGGCTTTTTCCACCTGCTGTTTGACTTTTTCGTTGCTGATGTCCAATTATTGGTTTGAAAGGTACAGCACCAAATAAATCAGCATCATCAAGGTCACCTGAATTTGACTCTTTCTTTCGAGAGGCAGGATGGATCTTAGTGGCACGTGGTGTGGAAGTATGAATAGGGGTGTGTGAGGTAACATCTGATGGTGGGGTAAAATATTGTGATTTAGTTGAATTGGTAAATTGTGAAACACCATTTAAGACTTCCTGACCAAGAGCTGAAAATTCTTTGGCATCATTGGATGGAGTTGTTGATATTGCGACATCATTGAAGGGTGTCGATCCAAAAAGATCTGTACCCTGGAAAGATGGGGAATTGACAGAGCCTACAGTTGAACTAGGAGTAAGAGAATCTAAGCTTTGTGACATTACAGTTTGACTGGGCTGTTGAGAAATGTTATGAGGGGCACTGGATAATGTTTGTTCTGCTACAGTTGATGACAATCCAGATTGGTTTGATATATGCATTGGAGGTTTATGAGTTCCTGCTACTGCTACTGGACTCTCATTGGCAAAAGGATTTACAAATGGATTTTTTGTTGGAACAGGATTAACAATTGAAGATTCAACAACTCTAGGTATGTGGAAAGGTCCAGGAACATTCTCATAGTGATGGTATCTAGGGGTTGTTGTACCATTTTCTATGTTACTACCACTTGGATTTAGTACAACATTTTCATATATAGGATACTCTTCACTTGGAGACTCTTCATAAATGATGTCAGCTTGAACAGGTAACCTAACAGGTTCAATAACTTGCTCCAGTACTTCTGGGCTACCTAAGTGAAATGGGGCTGGCGAACTGTTTGCCATGGGTGGAGTTATAATTGGCTGGCTGGAGGATTCTAATGGGGAAACAGTGTTGCTTGATGGCTGACTACGACTCTGAAAAACTTTTTTGTTTAGTTTTTTAAGAGAGGTTTTAAAAGGAGCTAAGGCAAACACATCTTCATCTCCAATATATTCCCTTTGTCTCTGAGAATCATCCATGGAAGTTTTCCTGAATGGTCGTGGAACATGGAATATGTTGGAGAGGATGGGCAATTGATCTGGCTGCTGAATTGGTTGTTGTTCTATGTGTTGGTCCTCATGATCATCAGACAGTTTGCTTTCTTCTTCACCTGAATCAAGTTCATCATCTTGAAGAAGAGGTTTTTCTCCATACTCATGTCCTAATAGTCTATCCTGAGCACACTTTCTGTTTTCTTGTTCTTGGAGAGCACGAGCACGGGCCCGCACAGCTGCTCTACTTGGCTTTGGTCCACGTCGTATTAACTGGGAAGGATCACAACTCTCTGCTATCCTTGGATCATCCTCATGAGTCGTGACACTTTCACACTCAGCGTGATATACAGATGAACTTATAGTTTCTGAGATATCGCCACGGTCACAATTATCATAATCATATTCATCATTAATCCTAGCCTTTAGATCACTAGCTGAGCCTATAGAGTCATCGTCAGACACACTACAAATGAATACACCATCAGGTTTACCATCTTTTGTGGCTCCGGAAGATGATTCACTTTCTCCAGGTTTACTCCTCCCACGGTTTTTTCTCTCCCGATGATGCCTCTTGTTTTTGGTTTCTATTGATTCTTTTACTGGCAGTTGTGTCTGCTGAAGTTCCTTAGCATGAGTCAAAACTTCAATGAGACCCTCATCTTCACTTTCCTCATCACGGGCATTTTGAAATTTTTCATATTTAGATCTGTTGAGTGAATCAGGTCAAATGTTAGATCATTGTCATAAATTGTAATTACTTTTTAAA